TTAGTCCATTGTTTTTGACAAATCAAGGTGACAAAAATTCAAACTAGCTGGTCATATCCATGGTGAAGAGAAGAAAAAGAATGGATGCATGCGTGTTTTACTGGGCTCGCTTCTCCCACCCTTACATCCTCAGGATCTCTCTGGCTTAGGGAATGGAGTCACCCTCAGTGGGCAGGGCTTCCCCAGTGTAATCAAGACAATCCCTCACAGGCTTGTCCACGGGTCAACCTGATCTGGACAATCCCTCATTGAGACTGCCTTCCAAGGTGGTTCTAGACTGGGTCTAGTTAATGATTAAAACTAATCATCATGGGTAGAGATATAAAAAATGACGAAGATGTTAATTCCTTGATAAAGAGATGAAAGCGAAGGCAGATCGAGAATAGCCCTCATTCATTCTTCAAATGTCATCAATTTGCATGCAGGGCTATTGCTACATGTTTGTATCTCCTCTCTGTATAATGTCTTATCATTTAGAGAGGCCTCACATACGCTAAGTCCTTCAGGCCTCTCCAGAGTCTTGGATGGTCACTTCCCCATTTTACCTTTAAAGGGAGATGCGGTGAGATTCCTAAAGCTACACCTGGGCCTCTTGATCTCTGCTCTGGTCCTTCACTCTGTTGTCCCTCCTCAAGTGTCAGCACCATGCAACTCTTCTCAAGGAGATTGGGGAACCTCCCTGGGTTCACACCTCAGCCCAGTCAGGTCTGGACTGCTTCTTGCTGACCGTTTCTCTTCTGAGTTTGTCCCATGCCACCTTGCTGGCAAAGGTTTCCACTAGTGAAAGCTGTCGATGGCCTTTGGAAGTGCATACCATGTTTATTCACCTCAGAGGCATTGTCTGTAAGCTGATTTAGCTGCTGTGAAGGTGGACTAGAACTGAGGTCACAAACAACCCAAACTTGCCTGTTGTTATAGCTGGTATGGAGGCTGCCCTTCAATTGGCCGTGCTAATAATGCTTCAGCTTCACCCCAATGAATGTGGGGAGAGCATCTGCAGTGAAGCTAGTGCCTTCCACCACTCGATCACTTGCTTATCCACAGACCTCACTGCGTGCCCCGTTATCTGTTACCCCCAACTCAGCAGAAGGTGGCACCTGAAGCTCTGTCTACCCATCAAGCCGATGATCTCGGGGTTGGATCACAAGAACCCGGAGATAGACTCTTAAATGTATTATCTCCTGCCTAAGCTCCCAAAGAGCTCTGGTTGTTACAGTTCTTGTCTGCATTTGCTGGTGCTGTTTAAGATCTCTGCATAACATAGTTAAAAACAAGCAAGCAGCTCATGAGCTCCAGTTTTCACAAGAGATCACCCGTTTCTAGACCTGGTTTTGCTTACAAGTGTGGACAGCTCTTTTCTGAGAGAGAGAGAGAGAGAGAGAGAGAGAGAGAGAGAGAGAGAGAGAGAGAGAGAGAGAGAGAGACTTTCCCTGGCATAAGACTAATTTATATTTTTCACAATATCAGATTGGTGAAAGAAGTCCCCATACTGTCCCCCAGTCCCCTTTTGGGGGTGACATTCACTCTGGCATGACCACCTTCAGAATAAAACATCCTCCAACTCTCGGGTCTCATCTCATTCTCAGATTTAACCCCTAGTTTTTCAAAGCTATCTTTCCCCGTTTCTTGCTAAGATACACTCACACCCCTCACTGTGTTTTTGGTGTTGTTTGTTTGTTTGTTTGTTTGTTTGTTTGTTTGTGTTGTCTGTCTCATGGCCGATGTGTCTGAACTTGTGATTCAATTTTTAGTCTCTGTTCTCAGCCTGCCCTTGCCCCTGGTCTCTCCACCTAAACTGAGCCAGTTTAAGAAAAGCATTCATTTGCTAAAATGTGATTTCTCTCCCTCTCTTATTTGAGTCAGGAAAATTCCAAGGAGAGTTAAGGTGAGAGAAGAGGCAGGTGTCTCTGCCAGTGAGCAGTTTTGAGACTAACAGTCACGTGGCCATTCAGTGTGATCACGGAGCAGCGATTGGATTGACTGGGGCTCCAGGCTGTCCCTTAGCTTCTCAGTCCTCAGTACAGATGGCACAAGTCTTCACCACAAAAGTGTTTCCATCCCACTTATTACAATACTTGGCTTCATTAGCCCTGCAAGCCATAGCCATACTTTCCTTGGAACACTGGTTACAGAACTGGAGTTGTCTTCTCCCTGTCTCTTTCAGTGATGTTTGTGTGGGTCCCCTTTGCATATTTTGAGGACTCTCCTTTCAGTTTTCGTTAGTTTTTTCCATCCTTTGGCAATAAAGCTGTGGCACTAAGAAACTTGAAACTAATTTGCAAGCATCATAAAAACAGTATTCAAATAAAGAGCCACACTCATACAAGCTTTTCGGAGACCACATCCATACATGTAATGGTAGACAGGCAGGGAAAGAGAACATTTTACCTTGGCTAGCCTTGTTCTGCCTCGTAGGAACTCATAATCTCTCTCTTTCCTCAGAACCTCCTCCTTGCTCCTGGCATGGTCAGTATCAGAAAAAAGCACAAATGATATTTTCTTGCCCACCCTCTGAAAGCATCAACAGTAAACACGCTTGAATCCTTCCAGGCAGTGGGTGCCCATTCACCAGATTCCAAAGGGGAGTGTTCCTCCAAGGCAGCCTCCATGGGGTGGTACCTCTTGCTTACATCACTTTGTCTTTGGGCTCCTGCAACTTCTGCATGTTTTGCTCCCATGCATAGCTGCTTCTGCCTAGTTTACTTGTTTGGCTCCTTCACACTCACCACAGGACCTCTCAATACAGTCTAGATATATGGAGACTGGTTTCACAACAGCTGTACTGTTGACATTTTGAGCCAATAAGTCTTTGGGGGTCAGGGGAAGTTCTTTGTTTTAGGGCATTTGTCAGTGTCCTTTTCTGCCACTAGATGACAATGGCACCCCTTGTCCAAGTTATGGCAATAAAAAAATGGATTCCCTGGAGGAAGACTCTTAACCTTGTTGAAAACCAAGTCTTTTCAAAAAGATAACTGTTTCTTTAGTTGTTTGCGTCATTGTAATAGAGTTTATGTGGCAACTCAGAGGAAACTGGTTTCCATTATAGATCTGATTTATGGACCAATGCAGACTCCTGATCAGTTCAGGAGAAGAAACAGTATTTCCTTACCTGCTTCCAGAAGAGCCCTTCTCAATGGTTCAGGATATCCACTGCATGTGGGGTGATGTGATTGCAGGCTCTGCCTCTGCTGACCTTTGCTTTGAAGTGCTTTGGATTCTTGCAAAGAAAAGCATCATGGGAATATACAGTTTGAAAGCCAAAACATTGTTACTCCATATATGGATGGGAGCCAGACTGATAATGATGAGTGTGATTTGCTGCCTGCATGGACTCCACAGAGTGACTTGAGGACCTCCCCCACCCCATGCAACATCACTCTACAGAACTGGACCTTACCATACATACACCCCGCACGTTGCCACCCCCATCACTTCAGTGGGAAATGTCCTTGAGTTCAGAGTACATGACTTCTTATTAAGTGAAAATAATATTAACTGGAAAGGGACACTGTTGCTTTTGAAGACCTTGCTATGACCTGAGGACATGATTTCTACCTCCTTAGACACTGAGAAGTGTGTTGTATTTTCTGAAAAGAAAGTAGGAAAATTATAATGAAATGAGATTCTCAAGAAAACCCATTTAGAAGAGGTGAGAAAATGCAGCCCATGAGGCTAACAGATCTTGGTTTAATAAATAGTAAAATAATAATAGTAATAATGTGTGCCGAACTCTGACCAAGTACTAGGTTCTGTGTGGAACTCAACTGCAAACCTTTTTAACAGTGTGAGAGGGGAAATTCACCTCCTCTCCCTACTCTACAAATGAGAGAATTGGGTAGATTCCACACACTACATAGAACTGTCCTCTGCTATATCCAAGAATGCTTCATTAGGTCAAAGCATTTGCCAACTCAGAAGAAGTTCATGTTGCTCCAGCTGTGCTACCAGCAGATAAAAGAGCAATGGTTTGCAGCAGGTTCAGAATTGTCATCAGTAGCATCAGTGATACTCCCAACTCTCTCTTGGAAGCCCCAGAGACCTTGGCATGCCTTAACCTTTCTGGGTATCTGGAAAGGTGAGGATGCCCCTTCCCTACCTTCCAAGGAGCATTTTGCAAGTGCATCATGCAGTGGGTCTTATATAACTCTAAGTTGTATAATTGACTCTGAGTAAGACTCTCATGCACTTCTGCTTAAGCAGCTGTCTAGTTAGGCCATCACAGGGGAGCTATGCCAGAAGCCTCCATTTGCAAAGAATGCCTTGGTAGATCCTGAAGGAGGATACTATTCAAGACAGATCACAGGCTTTACTGTGCCTCCCCAGTAAAGAGCCTACCTCCTCCTGCCTTGAGACCCTGCTGTGAATGAGCTCCATGTTGACCTGCCTGCCAGTTAACTAGCTCTATCCAGGTGTGCAGGGTTCTTGCTGGGCGTAAGAACTCATCTCCTACCATCGTCACTGTACCCGCCCATAATGCTTTAAGATTGCTCTAAGGGCTGGAGTTCCTAAAACATCCCAGTTACATGGCAAAGATACACAGCTTCTGTCTGATCATAAATATTATTACAAAGAATCATATGTGAAACAATAAGCTCACCCTGTCAGTTCAAGGGTACTTACAGGCACAACCAACATCATGGCCTTTTCAACATGGAGTTATGACTGATGGCGCTGTGTGTGCACCATTCACGCTAACAGCTCCGCTTGCTCAACAATGTAATATTGAAGTTAAGAGAGGCTGTCTTCTTGCTATGTTGTAACCAACGGTGTGTTTCCGTTTGGAGTTTTGATTCTAAGAGTATGTGAAAATTTACAATTGAGTAACTCTCCGTTGTTTGCGGTGCCTAGCTTCTGTCTCTAGTAGGCCTTCAAGTCCTCCAAGAGGCTTCCTGCCCAGCCAGGACTAATTTTCCTAGGGCATGCCCTTTCCCTCCAAATGCTCTCAGAATACTACCCCTGTGTTTTGTATCTTCTGACCTCTTCTTTTTTTTCCCCCACAGTGCGGCAAAGGAGCAGAAAACTTTGACAAGTTCTTCACGCGAGGGCAGCCTGTCTTAACACCGCCAGATCAGCTGGTCATCGCTAACATAGACCAGTCTGATTTTGAAGGGTTCTCGTATGTCAACCCCCAGTTTGTGCACCCGATCTTACAAAGTGCAGTATGAAATCCACAAATTAGAGATCAAATGCCTCCCCAGTCCCTAGCCTCCCCATGCAGTGGGAAATGATCCTTAACCCTAAAAATTTAAGGCTATGGCCTTGTATTTTGTCCCACACAGAGGCCTGAAAATTCTAAGGACATTAGTCCATAAGTGATTAACTTTTCAGGGTCTCTCTCTCTCTCTCTTTCTCTCTCTCTCTCAACCAAGAACATTATCTTAGTGGATGATGACATCATGTACAGAGTCCAGCTTAATTACATAGAAGCACATTTGACTCTAAGTTAATTTTTCCTAGAAAACAAAGCAATTTGGCAATTTGTATCCCCCTTTTTGGTACGATTTGATATATTCTCCATACCCTCCATCTTTGGATTTTCATCATCAGGATCCCTCCACCAGAGATAGTAAAGTGAACCTATTCCAGCTCAAGGGCTGGAAACATCTCCACCCAAGATGTCTTTGGAATGAAAGAACAGGAAACCCAAAGAGTAAGCAAAGAGAGGTTGGTGGTAGTAGAATCTTGAAGACCCCATTGCTTCTATTCTCTGCCTCAGTGGAAATAGTCCCTAGAATCTGAGAGGGCAGGATGAACCTAATCACTGTTCCTGACCGTCATAGCACAACCATAGTGCAGCAGTTTAGGAATGAAAGAAAGCTTCAGACGAATATTCATTGAATCTATCATCTGTGTTGCCCTACTTGGTTGATACCTATCTTGATAACTCATTCTTTTTAAGAGGCCAAATCGTTTAAGGACATTGCTAAACAAGCATGTAAAATCATTTCAGATCAAGGATAAACCGTGTGTGTGTTCATTTTAATCTCTGGGAGATGATTCTTCAAACCAGGGTGCCATCAGAATCATGCCACTATTCAAGAGTGTTGTTAGCCAAGCCCAAACACATGATAATGTTTTGCTACCTTCGTGGGTACCCTTCCTAAGAATCTGGTGTATATGCCCCGTCCCTTTTTGTACTATTTATTTAATAAGCTGCAGTGTCGTTTATGAAAGTACAATGTATAGTAATTTAATCCAAGTATTGACTAGCATCAGTCCTTATTGATTGATTTTCTCCTTTCTTTAGTCCCAACATCCACTTAGAGATGAAAAACAATATAGTTTGGGTTCCCATTTCCAGTTCCTATTGAATGGCACACCTGCAACTGTAGGATCAAGATACTTTATGCTTATATCAACTCAAAATGTTTTCTTGCTAGAAGGATTTTAATATGTTTTGCGAGTGCATCATGCAATGGATTTTGCATGTTTATAATAAACCTTAATAACAAGTTAATCTATATTATTGATATAATTGTATCAAGTATAAAGAGTATTATGATAATTTTTATAAGACACAATTGTGCTATATTTGTGAAGGCTCATGTTTCCAGTCTGCTTTAAGATGAAGTGTTAGCTTTATTCATTGCTGCTGTGCTCTCTCTTACCCTCTATCCCACACACTGGCACTCTATCAGATATATTAATTTTTTAATGTAGATGTAATTTTAAAATGAATGGCTACTTTACACATTTAACTAGGCTTTTACTATATATGTGTATATATGTATATATATATACTTGATTCTACCTGCAAAACCCAGTTTTGTTTGTGGGAATTATTTTTGAGATAAGACTCTGTTAACTTCTTCATGTCATCCTCTGGGTTCCTCCACCACTCTTCCTCTTGAAGACAGCCGGAAGCATTTAATTCCAGTATGCCTGATATGTTTGTATACATGTGGCATTGTTGTAGGACCTGGGCTGAACTCTGTGTGTGTGTGTGTGTGTGTGTGTGTGTGTGTGTGTGTGTGTGTGTATGTGTGTCTGTCTGTCTGTCTATATGTCTGTCTGTCTTATTCTTTTCAGCCTATGTCTTTTGGGGACTCTAGGGTTGGAAGGGTGGAAGGATTCCTTTCTATGTGTTCATATGGACACACCAGAAGTATGTAGTCTTCTTGCCCCAGAATGACCCAGTGTGTACTCCAGAACACACAACCTCAATGAGACAAACTTTATCCCATGTCCATATAGAGCCATCCCTGAGGCTGTTACTAACAGACTCATTCCAGAGGCACACACTGTCTTAAAGCTGTTGCTACAACATTCTGGTCTTTGAAGAGCATGTCTTGTGGCCAAAACACCTTCCCAATACATGGTGTTTATAAGAAGAGGCAGGGGCTGCCACAGCATGAAGACTGGTGGAGATGGAAGTTCTCACCCTACAGAAGGTGTCTCTCCTGAAAGCATCTCCCAGCTAAGCTCTCCTCTTTGTAGTCTCCATCTGTCTGCCTGGCAGTCACATAACATGCAAACCACCAAGTGTGTCTGAGATAAGGAGCACGAGCTGCTCTGAAAACCCCTTATCAGAAGAAGACAATGGAGTAGGGAATGGGCCAAAGCAGAAAAGAACAGTTTCTTCTGAAACCTTTCACGAATTCTGGACTTTAGAACTCAAAAAGGGTCTTATATATTGATCTTAGAAGTCCAACTCATCACCTTGGCAACCAACCTAATCAAAAACACTGTACTTGGCCCAACAGTAAAGCAACTTGTTTAGGAGCCTTGTTCTTTATTAAGTAGGACAGCAACAGGACTGATTCCCAGCAAATCTCTCAAGGTGAGGGAAGCCACAGAGAAGAAACACAATGGTCACAGACAATCTGTCCCAAGGTGCCAAGCTGCCTGCTTGTCTTAAGCAAGTAACAGGCTTGAGTTTTTCTGTAAACAGTCAACATCCAGCTCCAAGTGATTCAACTTCTCCAGAAAACATGTGCAATCTCTTGGGTGATTTGTATGCTTAGAGAATGTGAAACAACGTTCTCAAAAGGGAGGGGGAAAAACAATAACAGAGCCAGCATTTGCCTAAGGAACAGCACACTGGACAATGAACTTAGGAGAAACCATAACAGTTTAAGGAAGTTTTCATGATGTGGCCTATTTTATACACTGCTGAGTTTTAAGTTTAGATAAAGGCTAATACTTTAAAGACCCGGGCAGCCTGAGACAGTTATTGCTGCAAAACTAACTCATGTGGATAGCCATTAACAGCTGTTAGACAGGATCCAATAATAAAATTCTACGCCAGTGTCTCACTTCTCGGACCATGTGTGAAATGGGGCTCCAGAGAAAAGGCTGCCCCTTGAACTGAAGCCACCACATTGGCAGCTGGAATCAGGAGGGCGCCTTGAAGGGTTTAATCCCTGGGGGAGCTCTTCAAGTAGCACCTGCTCTCAGACTCTGCCTGCACTGGTAGGTTCTGTCCACAGGACAGAGTCTCCACAGGACCCATCTGGCAGTAACCCAGGAAACCCACTGAAATTGCTTTGTATTATATTGCCCTGGAAGGTGGCCACTGCTCAGTGGTAGTTGATCCTCCTTCCATTACAGGCAAGTGGGCTGCTAGCTCTGCTTTTGGCAGGGCATCTAAAGGTCCCGGCACTTGGGTTGAATGGAAAGAACTGGGGTATGCTGCCAGGTACAACCTTGGGAAGCTGATGGGAGGCCCACCTCCAAGCTGGAGCTAATTCAGGAGGTAAATGAGAAGCCCCAGGAACTAAAATGACTGCCCCTCGCCACATCACCCTCATATCTCTGGCCTAGTATGAGCCTTTTCTTCATTGGTCTTTTAATTAGTAATCTGAGAAACTCGGGAGGCCAAGAGCTTTCTGAAAGCTTGACCTGAGATGGTCACATGAAAGATTACCAGAGGCCAGTATTAACCCTCAAGTGTTGTCCCTCATGAGCAGTAGTTCTTAGCAGAGTGTGGTGCCTTGCCAAGCCCCAAAGAGCCACCCACTGATGTGTCACAGAGGAGTCTGAAGTCACAGCACTGAGGAAGAGCAGGGCTTGCATGCACCTGGAAAGACATGGAGGTGGGGGAGAGGCTACTGTGCCTGCATGGGCTTTCTACTGGCATCATCGTTGTAAACGGAAGTGACCCTTTGTTGGTCTTCATTTGTGTGTGTGTCCTGTCAGCGACACAGTCTGTTCCCTCTCAGCCCCTCCCAACTGTAAGAAGTCCTTTGCTCTGTGCAGAGTCAGGCCAGCCAGCAGACTCTGGAAGCCACTAGGTTCTGCCTCTTTCCCACCCATAATTAGAGTAGCTGAGACTAGGTGCGGAAGTTGAAAAAAAAAAACAACAAAACAACAACAAAAAACCAACAGTGTCCTGCTAGCTTATGCTTAGTAGGAAAAATAGGAAGGGTTTGTGCAGGGCTTTGTTTTCTCAAAACAGAAGAGAGGGGAAAGTGAGAGTCACATGCTTTTAATCGCCTCAACAAGGCGACAACCTGACAACCTGACAGTCACTTTCCTCACCTTCGTCTTAGGAAGCCACCTATTTCCCCTGTGTCCGTGTCACACTTTTTTCCTATTTGTTTATAGCCCCAGAAGGGCAGGGCTGCCCCTCCCCCCCAACGACTGAGCATACCCAACAGCTCTGTTCAGGAGAAGCATGATGACCATGGAGATACAGGACAACGGTTAGCAGCAGCTCCATGCTAACTTGACAGTGTTGGGAAACAGGTTTGAAAAATGGTTTTCCTTGAACTGCTGCTAACAAAAGATGCTGGAGGGTCAACACTCCTGCCGTGTCTCGTTTCGGCCAGTGCAGCAAACCTAGAGAAAGCTTTCTCTTTACGTCGTTAGAATAATCCAGAAAACCGGGAATGGGTGCTCGAGACATGCTCAGATGCAGTGTTACAGCAATGGTGTCCACTGTTGTCCTGGTGACGCTACAGCCTCAAGACTCAGTGGTTAAAAGTATGTATGGCTCAGTGTTCTGTGCCCTCATTCATGTGGTCAGGTGTCAGTAAGCAAACACACTGGACATATCAAGTCATTGAACAGCCTTACCGCGACCCTCCCCAGAAGCCCACAAGTTCCAAAGACTTTTTCTTAAACTTAAAACAAGAAATTAACTTATTAACTCTAGTAGAAGAACCTGACTGTGCTGGGCTATTTGTACTTTTTTATAGAGAACTTTAATGACTCGATTCTTTTAAAATGAGTTTTTTAAAATAAACCTAATAAAAATTTCATAAAATTCCAATTCCATCGAGCCTATAGGAGGACTTAACCCACATTGTACAGAGCACCCTTGACCTGCAATTCCACGGCATGGTTTTCCTGAACCAGTGAGGTATGGAGTCCACATTGGAATGACTGCAGGATGGTACCCCCTCTTTAGTAGACACTAAAGATAGCTGCCTAAGGTTTAGATATCTTTAAACTGTAGGGAAGATGGCTTCCCAGCCCCCTTCCTGATGCAGCCCAGGAGAGCATTCTTGGGGATCTCGGGGACTCCTCTCCTTGCTCTCTGAGAGTCTGTGAGCAAGAAGGGGTGCTTCTTCAACCCTGTCTCCAGTAGCTTCTGGTTGTCACACATTTGGTAAAGGTTGGGAGGTGCCCTGTAAGGTTTTTGCCCCTTGGGCAAGTCAAACCTACTATCTAAGAAGAGGCAGCATCGAGTGTGCCTAAGGCGTCTGTTTCCATTCCCATGTGTGAGGGAGTAGACAGAACCCTACTTTTCAGAAAACCGCTACCCCAACTTTGTAAGAGCCCCTTTTTCTAAAACATGTCACAAGGCGTGGCTTTGCACTTTCTGATTAAACAGCTGTGTCTTTTGTCTCCTGCTTCATTTTAAAACTATTCTGTAATCATTGGTAGATTTTTGTTAATATTTTGCCTGGAAAAAATGTGACTCTCTCCTTGGGATGTTTAATAGACTGTTGAAAATTATACACGAAGGTGATTACTATTTTGAGCCTAAGGGTTTTCTAAGAATCCGGCTCCTATCCTGACTATGAAGGTTTTGCAGTTTATCTTTTATAGGCGACCAGAAGCACTGGAAGATGCACTTCCTATATGATTTCTGCTTTGTTTTATGAAGGACATGCCATGTCTAAACCTCTCACTGAAAATCACCATGCAAAGTCCCAAACTGGTTTGGAGGAAGGAGTGAAGGTGGAGGTTTTCGGCCTGCATGGCCATTACTGATAAGCCGTAGGTAGGCACTGTGCCACTGCTCATTTGGTTACTTAGTAGGTAAGAAGGACATGTTAATTACTGCATAGCTTTCTTGGATTTGTGTAACCTCTAATCTTCGTTTGCATGATTCGCTTTGTTAGATGCATTCATTGTAGTTTGGAAGCAAGTGTGTATGAATAAAGATACTGATCACTGCTGAATGAGCGGCTGTCATTTGCATCCAGTAATGGCCTTGCTATTCTTTCTCACCCATGAATGCATTGACGCCAGACACATCCTGTGGAACATTTTCTCATCTTTTTACCTGTTTCAGGCATGGCTCTCTATTAAAGTCACTGAAAAAAAAACACAAAATAGCTTTTGGGGATGGGATAGCTGGCCAAGCAGTCAAGAGCACTTGATGTACAGTCACGGAGACCGGAGTTCAGGTCCCACCACACACACAGCAAGCAGAGTGTCCCACAAAACCAGCTTCTGAGCAAGCCTTCATGAGATCATGCCCACTTGCCGGTATAGTCACACACAGATAAATGAATGAATAAATAAACATCAAAAAGAAATCAAGATACTGTGTGCTAGACCAGTGAGATGGTTCAGTGGGTGAAGGCATTTGCCACCAAACCTGAGGACCTGAGTTCAATCCTCAGAGCTCCCCTGTTGGAAGGAGAGAACTGACTCCTAAAATACTGTGTCTTCTCACCCTCTCATGCATGCTATGGCTCTCTCTCTCTCTCTCTCTCTCTCTCTCTCTCTCTCTCTCTCTCTCTCTCTCTCTCTCATTGTCAAGGATGACCTTAAATTCCCGATCCTTCTGCTTCTCCACCATCCTTCCTGCTAGGGTACAGTAGGGTGCTACAAACGACCCACCACATCCAGTTGAGTTCTGGGGACTGGACAGGTGCTCTGTGCATACCAGGCACAGAGCCTACCAACTACGAACCCTGAAATAGCACGAGATACTAGAGGGAGCATCGCAGGGCCACACCCCTTGCTCTGGAGTGTTCTCACACTAAGGAAACAAGACAGACACATGGGCATGACTTAAAGACAAAAACAATTCCAGGACCAGGTGCCTCTGAAACCCAAGTTCTCGGTTTCTGTCCCCAAACCCAAAACCCAGTTTCTAAAAGCCAAGGATTGATGTTGACAACATGTCTTGCTCGCTCATGCCTGACATCTTCCTCTGAGAGGCCTCTCTCTGCCCTCACTCTCAGCTTCGTTCCACGGTGTCCCACTTCCTTCCCACTCCCAGCCCTGCAATGCCCAGCCTCGGCCTATTCTTTCCAGTGCTCTACATTCGTGTGTGCGTCCACCGGGTCAGTGTCCTATCCCTAGGATGCTGAACTCACACCGAGCCTCCTGAAGGTCAGGGTCTTGCTGCTGCCATGGAAAGTGCAGGGGATCCACATGGGCTCACCCTGCCTCAAGCAACATCCTCAGCAACAGCCAGTGGCCAGAAGGGCCTGAGTCAGTCCGCCAAGGTTTACCCCTGTGGTGGCTTCAGAGGCTCGGGCAAGACATTCAGTGGCTTGTCCACCCAGTCCTACAGAGGTGCAGGGGATGGTCTGAATATTGACTGGATCATTAGGAATACCCTTCCAGGGGTGTCACCAGAATGAAAGTTCAGAAACCAGCTCTTCTGTGGAAGGATGGCCTCTCCCATTCCCACCTCTGCCCACTGACACCCGTCTGTCAGCAGGCATTCTCAGCTGGGGCATCTAGAGAGATGGTTGGCTGACACAGTCAGGAAGAATGCTGCTGAATCTGCTGGGGAGAGGGTGGGGAGACAAGCTCCCCACAATATATGGGGCAGTCCCCTCAACAAAGCATTGCCACACGCCAATTTTCAGTGGTCCTGATGTTGAGGGTTCTAGTCTAAAATACCTCCCATCATCAGTTCTCCCTCCATCTCTCATCTCTGCATAGCAGCCCGCAGGGCGTTTAAAGCTCTCCCACGGCTTCCCATCACCCACCATCCAGGGCCAGCAGTTGGGAAGGTAGGCTCAGAAATGCTGGCATGAGAGCTGGAGAAATAACTCAGTAAAGTGTGTAGCATTAAGGACTGCACCGGATTCCCAGAACCCATGTTTAAAAAGCTGGGCTCATGGTGTGTGCTTATAATCCCTGGGGATGTGGAGACCAGGGACCTGGGTCCACCCAACCTAGCTGAATAGCCACACCTCAAGCCAATAAAAGACCTTGTCTCAAAACAAACGAACAAAAAAAGCAACAACAGCAAAAGCAAGGCAGACAGTCCCTGAGGGACAACACCTGAGGTTGTTCTCAGGCCTCTGCCTGGGAACACACACAAAATGCTGACTAACTGTGTGTGTGTGTGTGTGTGTGTGTGTGTGTGTGTGTGTGTGTGTGTGTGTGTAAGGAGATTTCCTATCAGAATATAATAAGTGAGAGGCCAATACATCTATCGTGTTCCCTACTGGACCCCAGCAACTAAAACAGCGTTTGAGCATAGTAGAGACCCAAAAGAATATTTGTCTAATGAGTGAATGCGTAAAAGGACCCTCAGAAGGCATGACATTTCAAGGTACTAGAGGACACATTGCTCTGGAGGCATTCAAACACTAAGGAGGCAAGATAGACACACGGGCATGGCTTAGACAAAAAAACCTCAGGGAGTGGATGCCTCAGAGCCCCCAAGCCCTCAGTTTCTGTCCCTAAGCCCCGAGCCCAAAGGAAGTGGTCGCCTGCACTTACACTTGTGCGAACAGTGGACACCAGAGGTTTGTCTCTAGCCTACTGTGTGCTCTTGCGGGGTGGTGGTGTAAAATTATGGTTCAGCCAGCATGGTATCATGCACACTGCAATGGCTATGCATTGTCACACCCTGTCCGAAGGGTGAGCATCACAGGCAGCAGGGTACTGCCTTCAGGTTGCATGCAAGAAGTGCTTTGGGATCTAAGGAAGCAAAACTGAATATCCCAGGATTCTTTTCTTGTAAGCTAATGCAGTAAACACGTTGCAGGCAAGCCTGTTCTAATCGTGAAAAGAGAAAATGGAATCTGGTGAAATAAAAGGGCTAGAGATACGTGAGCATGTTAAAGAAACAGAAGTCTGAAGCAGGTGACAGACACGTGTGGACACATTCATACACAGCTGCGGGCACAGGGGCAATCTATCGTAAAGGTGTGAGACACTTCTACAGTTCCTTTGTTTGCATTTAAAGCCCACGGTGGCAGACACCTCAGGTAGAACCTAGTGACCTTGTTCATCTTGTATGTTCAGAGATGTTGAATACCAATGCCAAGGGGAGCAAACAACAGATACCCCGAGTCCTCTGTAAATGCAGAGATGTGAGCTGTGCCCGGTGCTTCCTGGAAGGGAAGGCCCAGAAGCTGTGGTCTGACAAGAAGGGACTAGAAAGAGGAGATCAGTGCAAAGACTAACCCATGGGAGGGAGAGAAAGGGCTGCTGCCCATCTAACACCTGTTACAGAATCTAGACATAATGACCTCCTTAACTCCTTGTGGCCCTGTTGACATAGATAGCATGTGAAGAAACCTTATGATACCTCCATATGGTAGAGGCTACAACCTTAATGATGAGAAAATCAAGACTAAAAGATATTTATAAGCTGGGTACAATCTGGGTACCATCTATGTCTGATAAGCTGGGTACAATCTGGGTACCATCTATGTCTGCTCTTCCCAACCTCAGCCTACTCAGAGATCAAAGATGCTGCACTAAGACAGAGATGCAGGACCTCCTTGCTCCCATTCCATCACTTCCTTTAAAGCTTGCACTAATGGGGGAAAGTTCTTCTTGGTTGGCTGGATCATGAGACTAAATGCCCCTTCTGCAGCCATTTCCGCAAGCTTATCCCCATCTTCCTCCTGATTTTCTTCCCCCACTCTGTAGCACTATGTCAAGGAATAGAGAGAAAAATAGCATCACCATTCTTAGAACCCGGCAGGTACCTCCCAGCCACCCACACCTGCCTGCCTCTTGCCCAGAGAGAGGAAACAAGCTGCAGGAATGGCTGGCTGGCCTGGGTTCAGGCTCCCCTGCAGCCTTGAATTGAGGCTCCTCTCCTAGGTGTCAAAATCTATCAGAGGGGGAGCACAGCATAATGGGTAGGGGACTTTAGCAGAACAAGATACCCAGTGTCTATGGAGATGAGCATCCCAGGAAGGAACAGTGGGACTTGGCTGGGACAGAACACTGTAGGAAAGCTTTTACTATTTTAGGATTCAATAAAAACAACACGTTGATTTCTAGAACTAATACAAAGAGAGAAAATGAAACCCCATTGCCTTGAAGACAGTACTGTCATACTTAATAACCAGGTAACCTGCCTGTCACATTTTGTCATCATGTCTTTCTGGGCTAGCTGTATTAAATGCCAATGGGGCCCACAGCTACTGATTTTGTTGGGGGTGGGGTACTAGTGCATAGGGAGGCCAAAGCTCAACACCAGGCATCTTCCTCTATTGCTGCCTGCCTTATTTGCTTTTTGAGGCAGCATCTCTCACTGAACCTGGAGCCCATCAACTCAGTTTGAGTAGCTGGCAGGAAGCCCCAGGGATCCTCATGCCTCTGCCTCCCCAGTGCCAGGGTTCCTGGCACATGTGCCCCTGTACCCAGCCTTCTTATGTGAATTTTGGGGATATAAACTCAGGTCCTCATGCTTGCATGGCAAACACTGTAGCAACTAAGCCATCCCCAGGCCATACATTAAACATCTTACACATCCAGAAACTCATAAACAAAGAGAGAGGAGGCCAAAGAATCTACTAAAATTTCTAATTCAGGCTTCTTGGAGGAAAAGCACCACTGGAAGCTAACTAGGCATAGCCCTTGACTTTTACAATATTCCTGCTCTTTCTTAGCTGGACTCAGTGAATTTTTTAAACTTCTGTTTTCAGTCTTCGATGTCACCCCATCAGAAGTTGAGAACTTGCATATAGTGAGCACCAAACGTTTGATAAATGGGGACTGGGGAGATGGCTCAGTGGTTGAGAGCACTTGAGATATTCATGTCAGTTATATATGATTGAAAATGTGTCCGGAACCTAGAGAACAATGAATTCTGCTTTTTAGCAGATGAGCCATTTCAAGACTCACTTGGATGTACACACGGAGAACATACCCACCCTACAGCCCAGCGCACCACGTTACTGCTTACCATGTACTTTAGCTGTGGGTTGTTGTGTAATTATCCTGCCACTTGCCAACTTAAATA